GAGACATTTATTTAACCACTTTCAAACTTAAGTGTAGGTCAAGGGAGAAAGGAAAGCAGTTTTGGGCAAGGGGGTGCAATTCCCGCGCCGGCCAGCAGGTGGAGGCAGAGCACGCCCAGGTATGGTCTCTCTCACCTGCTGTTTTCCACAAGGTAATGCACAATTTTGTCCAGGACCTTCTCAAACAAGGCGGTGCGGACCCACAGGTGCTTGATGGCGAGCGCGGACAGGTTGGGCAGCTTCGGCAGCTTCCGCACATTCTCCTGGAGGCCCTGGATCTGGTTTCGCCTTGAGGACCAATAAAGGAGAATACATACTCATAAAAGAAGAAATCCATGGGAACAATACATGGATACAAATGGGACAATGTTCAGTCTCCGTAGGGAATGAAGGCATGGCAACTGAACAACAAGAGCCTGTACTGCTCCTAGCAAATGGGCCAAGAGTTGGAAAAACAATAATACCCAATGAGCGTGCAGATGTGGTTAAATAGACGCTTTCATACACGGTTAATGAGCAAGCCAGATTCTCATACTGATCTCTCCCCGCCGCCCCACTCTCTCTCCCTCCCTCTCCTGGAAAGGAGTGCTGGCCAAGAAGTCTTGGATTATAGATCCTTCAGTGGCTCCCACGCCCTTGGGAAGCAAGCTCTTCAACATGACTTGCAGGGAACCTCAAGACCTCGCCCCCATCACCTCTCCACCAACCTCCTTACCACCTCCCCCCTCACTCCACGATCCAGACAGACAGAGACTTCTGCAGACTCCGGAGGCTGCCAGGCTCTCATCTGAAGCCTTTCCACAAGCTTCTGCTTCCTCCTGGTTTCCCTCCCCAACCCATGCCCAGGCTCATCCCTTCCCACTCTTTAAGTCTCAGCCAGGGCATCCCCTCCTACAGGAAGCCCTCTCAGAACTGCTCCTTCAGCCTCTGGAGCTTAACTTCCTGCTGGCTTTTCTGTCTTCCCCTCCGCATTGTGATCTTGAAGGTACGAACTAAGCGATTCAATTTATTTTTAAATAAAATACTTACTGAGAGTCTACCACGTGGCAAGCCTGGGCCCTCTCCATGTCTGTATGTCCAGGGCCTAGCACCGTGCCTGGCATATAGGCTCAGCAAATGTGTTCATGAATGAGTGATTGCATGAATGAATGAATGGTTCTCCCTTACCACGTGGCATGGTCATCTCTAATTCTTCCATTCGGAGATCACTCCCAATATTGTGGAAGACCCATGGAAATCCATCTCTTTAAGAAGTTATCTGCAAACACCTGGGACTTTAGCAGTAGGATTGGAAGGTGCCCAAAGACCTGGTGGCCGAGAAGTCATTCCAAATGGGAGCTGGCAGAGCCAAACCCTGAGCTCTGCGCACCCTCCAGTTCTGGCCAGCAGCCCTGGGCAGGCAGGGCCTGAAGGGCAAGGAGAGGGCTGTTTCTGATCTGGTCAAGTGGAGTGACTGCCCACAGCAGAGACGGCTAACGTGGCATGCTTGTCTTTGCCCTGCCCTTGTCTGTGACAGACATGACCAATCAATCCATGCACTTTTCCCCAAGATGCCCAATTGCAGCTTCGGAATCTTTGACAGCACAGTCCTCTGGGCAGCCACTAGCACCACCTGGAGTTGAAACCTACTTGCCACCCCTGACCAGGCTCCAGGCTGGGGCTTTGGCTGTACAGTCGGGACTCCAGGGGGTGGCTCTGGTGGAAGGTGCTTGTGTACACACACTCCCCCGAACACATGCAACCCAGTCACTAAGACAAGTGAGTGAAGCCACCTCTGCCTTTCAATGGTTGCGTAAATATGAGGCTTTTTTTTTTTCAGACAGGGTCTCACTCTGTTGCCCAGGCTGGACTGCAGTGGTGCAATCATAGCTCACTGCAGCCTTGAACTCCTGGGCTCAAGTGATCCTCCTGCCTCAGCCTCCCCAGTAGCTGGGATTACAGTCGCCCACCACCATGCCCAGCTAATATTTTTATTTCTTATTTTTATAGAGATGGGGTCTCACTATGTTGCCCAGGCTGGTTTTGAACTCCTGGCCACGAGAGATCCTCCTGCCTCAGCCTCCCAAGTGCTGGGGTTACAGGTGTGAGCCACTGCACCTGGCTCAGAGTTTTCTTTGCATGTCAAGTCAGTGTGTTCAAATACATTATGATAAACGTATCAGTATGAGTGTTAACCAGAGGCCCTAGCATCCGGGCCACATGGGCGGAGACCATATTGATTCCATCGCACTTTGGTTGTCCTGCATTTAGAACAGGGATTGGCTCCTAGCAGGCACTTATTCACTCAGCAATTGTTTCTCAGGCATTTCCCAGGTGCTAGACACTGTCCCAGATGCTGGGGAC